CCCGCCGCCCCCCGCCCCGGCACACCTGTTGCCCCTCACAAGGCACCGCGGTGGGCAGGTGAAAGGCAGGCATAACTTCACCTTGACGGCCCCAGGGACCAATCAGAGCACGCGACTCCCGCAGCGGGCCAATGGCCGAGCGTCTTGGAATCCACAGCTCGGGGCCCAACTAAACCACCTCTTCGACTCCGCGCGAGCAGCCCCCAGGCTGAGGCCCGGCAGCCCCGAGAAGGCGAGTAAAAGTTCGCGAGGAAAAGAGAAGGCAAACAGGGAAGTACTCACCCGCCCTGGCGCGTGAGGGTCACTTCTTCCTACGGGGCGACATCTCGGCTCAATCTGTGCCGTGCCGACACGCCCCTGACCAACCGCCGCCGCCGCCGCCGCCGCCGCCTCGGCCTCACAGTCTGCCGCGGTTCGCCGCCGCCTGTTTCGAAGGGACCAATCAGAAGGCGGAGAGAGGGCGTGGCTGGAGGCCCCGCCCCCGAGCCGCCCGGGGAGCACGCGGCCTGCGCGCGCCTCTTGTCACCCCGGGGCGCGCGCCTTCCAGCGCCCGGCCTCTCACAACTCTGGCGGCCAAGCCGCTTATTTCCCTGAAAGGTGAAGAGGCTTGGTCACAGAGCAAATCCTCCCATCGGGCCCGTCAGCGACAGCAATAGCCCTTCCTATTTGTCCCGATAGGCAGGAGAGGCGAATCGACCTCGCCTGTAAGCGTCTGGAATGTTGCGGGGTAGAGTTCAAGGGCCTGCCCTGAGTTTTATCCTGATCTGTGAAGAACCCCTTCCAACCCTAGATCCACTGGAGATCTGACTGGACTGGGAGCGCCACTGTTGCCGGAGACAAACTGTCACCCAGCCACAATGGGAGTCTGAAGCTGAAACCTTTCAGAGAGAGCCCCCTCCTCCCGCGAGGGGCTGGAGTGAGGGAGGGAGAGGAATCCTGTAGCGCCAGGCCACAGCTGAAAGCGAAAAGAGGAGTTGGCTCTTCCTTCAGGAAACACAGGAAGGGGAGGGGGTGGTGGGGAATTAACCTCAACACAATGAGGGATGCTTACTAGCTCTAAGAGTTGAGGGAAAACAGACTGGTCTTGGATGTAACAATACGTAGATGGGTCTATGATCACTGTAAACGTGGCTTGACAATAGCCGGGGGGGGGGGGGGGGGGGGGGGGGGGGGGGGGGGGGCGGTGTGGGAGGTGGGGGACGACACGACTCAGTGGCTCTAAGCCAAGAGGCCCAGGCTCCTCCCCTCCTGTTAGTTCTGTTAGTGTCGCCTCCCTGAGCCTCAGTTCCCTATCTGTGCGGGGATTGAACTAGAAAAATGGTCTCTCTCTAGCGTTTATTCATTCATTCACTCATCAAAAACAATGAGGAGATACTTTGCTTGCTGAAGAGACTAAAATGAATGAGACAGTCCCTGCCTTCAAAGTGCTAAGCAACATGGTAAAGGCTCAAGGGCAGTCTGGGGGAGTCTGTGAGAGAGGGAACACCTAACAGTCTCCGAGGGCGATGGTCAGAGGTCTGAAAGGAGCTGAATTTTGAAGGATGAGTAGGAATCTGCCAAGAGACAGGATAATCGGGACTAAGGAGTGCTTTCCAGGCAGAGAGAGCAACAATGTTCCAGAGATGTGAGAGCGCCTGGAATGTTCTAGGAGTAGTAGTTCTTATAACTAAAGGTTGGGGATCAGGACATGGACCACCCTGGAGGAGCAGGCCCAGATGAAAGGCCTGGTAGGTGCTAAGAAATTTTGATTCTTTCTTGCAGGCAATTGGGGTTGATTATAAAAAGGGAGTGGTATGAATAGATTTGTGTTTTCAAGCATTTTTGAAGGAAGGAATAAGACTGGCAGCAATTCTAAAAATTAAAAGATGACAATTACCTAAACGAGCTCAGCAGGGACGGTGAGGAAGAGGTGTCCTGAAATACCTAAAAGGCTGACTTATCTGGACTTGGTTATCATGTGACAGTGATGCCGATCTAAGGAATACAGGGAAAACAACTGTGGGGGAAGAAGAATGCATTTTGGTTTGGGGTGTGTTCAGTTCAAAGTGTGAGAGGAATGTGCAGGTAGAGGTCTTCAGAAGATAGTTGGAAAGTTAAATCTGAAGCTATCAAAATATGTATGTACACTTTTCTACAGAGCCTTCAGAATAAGTAAATTGGTTATACAGATCATGTTTGATGGTCATTAGTTAACAGTTCTTTTATTTTTTTCTAACTTGTATACTGTGTGCCTAAACATTCGAATACCACTTACTAAAAATTGAAGCTATGCTATATGAGGTATGTACACAAACATTTTCTCTGTCTCTCATACACGCACATACACCCCACTTAATATTTCTAAGCCATTTACTGATACTTTAGCTGCAGGGTACTTTACGGTTGCTTTCTTTTTATTCTCATTGTCTATTTGGTTTGTCTTGGTAACTCCTCTACCTTATAAAGATATAATACAATGTGGTGGCAAGTGAGCCTCGTCAGGAAATCTGTGCAGATCACTTCTCTTCTAAGCCCATATTCTTCAATGGTTAAATGTGGGATTGGGTAAGCGTTCTCTCCTAGATTCTTTGATTCTTGTTGCTTTTCCCTTCTGTATAAAAAAGAAAAAAGTTGTCCTTGTTGCTTTCTCAGCCTCACTTTTATGTTGATTCCCAGTTAGCACCCCACTCCCTAAGTGCACCTACCGTCTTACCTTGATTTTAACACTGCAATTAGTAATTGAGGGTTCCATCTAATGAGCTGCAATCTACTTTCATGTGTAGATTTTCTAATTGGTGGTTAGGTTAATAACCATATATTAGAGGCTCTTGCTCGACTTGAAATTGGCATGCTTGTAACATGCAGAGCAAGCCTCAATAGTCTGCTTCTACCAGATAACAAATTCTATTAGTTCTCACTTTTCCAGAATTGTGAAGATGTGCCTCACTTTAAGAAAGCACCATGCTTGGAAATCTAAATTTTAAAAGTTATTACATTAGGAATAATCATTCATCTGACTAAACATCTATACAGAGTACAGAAGGTTCTCTTATAATCATATAACCTTTGGATAATGAAGTATGATTTGACTTTTTCACAGCCTTATGAGGATGCTCTATGCTTAAAACATGCCGTAGTTGTTGGAGATTTTATTTTTGCTTTTTATTGGTTTATTATTTGTTTTGCTCTGCATTTTGTGGTTGCTGCTGTTGTTTTTAATGCTTTGACATTAGTGAGTGTCAGTCTATGGATTGTGCCTTTTGTGAAGTACTGGATGAAATTTTGGAACAATAGAGATCTTGATTCTTTCACAATTAATTAAACTACTCATTCCGCACATAATCTAGGGAGAGCCAACGACATTAAAAACAATAGTAATATATATCTTAAAGGGATATTACCAATTTACACCAACAAACATTATGTATAAGTAAGTCGGTGATACAAAATTTTATTACAACAGTTGTGACTAATACTAAACTGTTGTATCTACGTAGTGGGCTGAATAGTGACCCCCTCAAAATTCATGTCCACCTGGAATCAGAATATGCCCTTATTTGGAAATAAAACCTTTGCAGATGACCCCCTCCTCAGGTTCAATAATTTGCTAGTATGGTTCACAGAATTCAGGAAAACAATTTACTGTTACCAGTTTATCATAAAGGATACAACTAAGGAACAATCAAATGGAAGAGGCATAGGGTAAGGTATGGGGTAGTGGGGTGGTGGAGGAGGGCATGGAGCTTCCGTGCTCTTTCCGGCACACCATCCTCCCAGCACCTCAATGTGTTAACCAACCCAGAGGTTCTCCAAACCTGTCCTTTAGGGCTTTTTATGGAAGTTCCATTACATAGGCATGATTGATTAAGTCATAATTAGCCATTGGTGGTAGACTTCAATCTCTGAGGTTCTCTCCTTTTCTCAGAGGTCTGGGAATAGGGCTGAAAGTTCCAACCCTTTAATCATATGGTTGGTTCCTTTGGCAACCGTCTCCCATCCTGAAGCATTTAGGGGCCTACCTTATTAGCATAAACTCAGGTATGGTTGAAAGGGGCTTATTATGAATAGCAAAAGATGTTGCTCTCACTCAGGAAATTTCATTTTAGAAGCTCTGTGTCAGGAATGGGGATAAAGACTGAATATATATTTCTCATTTTATCACAATGAATTTTCCACATGAGAAACATTATTATTTGCTGTTACAGGGTCTTAACCAGTTGAATAAATCCAGACCTACGAGATTAACTCCTAGTGCTTTCTACAGGGCCCCATCAGTTCCAGCTCATTTTCCCCCACTTTCTCCACAGATGCCTTGTGATCTGGAGACACCAAACCACACTCAGTTCCCCAAACTGAATCTCCTCCTTCAGACATTCAGAACTTTACTCCTCTGTCTTACATGTCCTTTCCTCACCAGCCCTCTCCCCTGGTGGGCCTGCAACTTCCTCTTCATTCATCAGCTAAATCCTTTTCCATGTAGGAGCTGATATCTTCATTTTACAACTGTGAAACTAAGGCTTAGAAAGGGACTGTGCACCCTATGTCTCTGCCTGAGATTATCTGTGGTCTTTTAACATCTGCACAACTCCCGCCACCATTCCTCCTTTTGCTCCTGTCACCTCTTTCACCTTGAATCCCTGTCCCTCTTACTGTGGCCCACGGAAGTCCTGGCGATCCTTCCAGCCCAAGGGAAATGCCACCTCCTCCCTGAGACTTTCCCAGGTGAGCCGATAGAACTTTCCTCTCCTCTTCTTTGTAAGACCTTCCAGGCAGTTAGTGTCTTAATCATCTTTGTATCTTTCATGGAGTTTAGCAAAAGAATCTTGTACTTGGTGGGGACTCGTGTTTGTTGTTGTAGCAAATGGGACCCAACTCATGCTAGCCCCAACTCACTCCCTTTTCCTCTGACTAGCTATTTTTAGGACTTCAAGGTTGCCCTAGAATTTTAATACAAAAAACCGTTTGTCTGCTAAGCAAGCTCCATTTTTGCTGACTTCAGGAGAAAGGGAGATAGAAGTCCATTACTTATAGAAGGTATTTTATTGTATTCAGCAAAGGATAATGGGGAGAAGAATGCAACAGTATAACAATGAAGGAAGGAAATGAACTAATTCCTGCTTTGGGGGAAGTATATAACAGCTGTGCACACAGCTGTAGGAGTGTTTTCCAAAAGCAAAACAAAACAAACAAAAAAATGATTAATTATATGCACTGAAGCCAATAGTGAGCCCTTCTAAGAGAGCAAAGGGAATGTCCTATCACTGGAGTTATCTGCATGCTGTGAATTTGTAAATGCTGCCTCAAGACCCTAATTATGAAAAGGGATTGTTTGAGGGGATATTTTATGTGAGAATCATTAACTTTTCTGTACACTATTCTCTTTGAACTTCAAAGAAAATGAAATGATCAGAGGGCTATTACAAATAAACGGCTATTCACCAGGGCTTCTCCAAAGATGAGAAAAGCACCATTCATGTTGTGAGAGTTTATCTTTTTGTAAATTACCCCCTGGGGCTCAATAGGATGTCACTCATCATTTAAAGAAATAAGAGTTTGTATATTTTTCAAATTTTGTTCCCAAAGAAAACCCTGTTGCCATTATGTTCGGTTTATTGCCAAAGTTGAACACAACTCTAATAAAATATATGCAATAAAGTAAAATGAAGAGCAAAATGAGATTTTCCCTATTTCAACAGATAGACTTGAAATAATGATAAATTTAATTAGGCAAACAGGGCATGCCAATTAGAATGAATGATTCCCTGAAGCCTTGCAAAATACAATGTAGAGAAAGTAATTTTATCTAGCCCCATATTTACAATCGTGGATGTTATATAATTACTACATAAATATTCATCAAAATTCTTGTGTGAAACAAAGTGCAAATGAAGTAAAGGAAAGTTATACATCAGATTTGTGTTATGAGGAAAATAACAGGTTAGACCCTTCCCCTATGATGCTCATCACTGCACATCCCAGATTTCACAGAGGAGTGGGGTGAATTTGTGGTCATTCACTCTCCATGACATCAGCATCTCTGCATGGTGATGGTTGAATGTCCGCAGTTCAGTCAGGCGACCCAGGAGACAGGCGAAATGTTGAGGGTTTTCAGGCTGATGGATCTTGCACAACTTTTGTAACACATCAAGCAGTGGCTCCTGAAGCTTCTCTACTGCTTCTCTATCCTTTATATATTGTCTGTCTGTTTTGAAGTTTTAAATAAAATGACAAAATTTAAAAAATGGAAAGTTTTAGTTTGGCGTAATTATAGCAATGTTAACTTTTTTGAAATATAACTTACAAATGTACACTTAAAATGCACAATTTAAGTGTTCAACTTGATGAATTTTTACACACATACATATATACTCATGTAATCACTAGATCAAGATGTAGAACATTTGCGCCTCCCAGAAGCCTCCCTAAATTCTCCTTCCAATCACTGCCCCCAAAGGTAACCCACAGGGTAGATATAAGCATCATTTCTGGTAGGTATATTCCAAGGAGCAGAATTGCTGGGTCATAGGATACATACATGTGTAATTTTAGTAAGTACTGCCAAAAAGTTTTTCTTTTTCTTAATTATAGTTTTTTATGATAAGACAAAGTAACAGCCAGCTTCTGCCACAATATCATGTATGAAAAGTGGTTTAATGCTAACATTGTAATTATGCTTTATAAATCATGAACGTGGCATCACTTATTCCCAAATAATTAAAGTAATCCAAAAATATAGACAAATTTTATGTATAGAAGTTGTAATATTATGATTTATAGGAAATATATACTTGGTCATTCAGATGTAGTGAGTGCCATCAAGACAATTCCAACTCTTAGTGACCCTGTGTGCATCAGAGCTGAACCCTGCCCTGCCTTTTTGCACCATCCTGTCACTTTCCAATGCTATATCAGACAATGCTCCACTGCTATTCACAGGGTGTTCATGGCCAGTTTTTTCAGAAGTAGGTGACCAGGTCCTTCTTCCTAATCTGTCTTAGTCTGGAAGCCCTGCTGAAACATGTCTACCGTGAGTGATCTTGCTCGTAGTTGAGATACTGGTGGCAGAGCTTTCAGCATCACTGCAATATGCAGCCACCATCGTATGACAACCAACAGACAAGTGATGTGGTTCCCTGACCAGGAAACAAACCCTGGGCCACCTCAGCGAGAACACTGAATCTTAACCACTAGACCACTAGGGCTGGCTTCATTCAGATGACCAAAATATATTTCTCATGTATATATGGTCTTCCTCCACAGTCCCTGGCTCTAGCTTTCAAAACCTTTGCAATTTCCTGTGTTGAGAGTGTTAAAGGTGTCCTGTTTATGTTAATGAAGGTGACTTTTGGACCCCATCCAAGGGTGGGGACTGATTGCCAGGAAAGCCAGCCTTGTGATCAGAGGTTTGGAACTTTCAGTCCCACCCCATGATTTCAGGGGATGGGGGAGGGAGGGGAGTTTGAGGTTGAATCAGTTGCCAATGGCGAATGACTTAGTCAATCATGACTACGTAATGACACCTCCATAAAACCCCAAAAGGACAGTTCATTGCCCTTTCTTTTTCAGAGATTCCATGTTGGGGGACCAGAATGCTTCCACGTTCCACTGTGCTGGGCCCCAAGCTCCAGGAGGACAGAAGTTCCTCTGTTCAGGACATCGCCCTATAGTGTATCTCTTCATCTAGCTGTAGATTTGTATCCTTTAATATCCTTTGTAATAAGTGGGTAATCTAGTGAGTAAATGGGTTTTCTTGAGCTCTGTGAGCCATTCCAGGAAATTAATCAAACCCAAGGAGGGAGTAGTGGGAACCTCCAGTTTGTAGCCAGTCTGTCCAAAGCACAGGTAACAATCTGGGCTTGCAGCGGGTGTCTGAAGTGGAGGGCAGTCTTGTGAGACTGAGCCCTTTACCTGTGGAATCTGCTTCTATCCCCAGGTAGACAGTGTTAGAATTGAGCTGAATTCTCAGACAGCCCGCTGGCAACCAAGAACCGCTTGTTGTTGTGGGGAAGCCTCCACACACGCATTAAAATTGGGTCCAGGAACCCCTAGCAGAGGTATTCATTTCAACGTCGTTTAAAACAACAACAAAAAATTTGGAAACGCCCCGACTATCCAAACACAGGATAAAAATTAAGTAAATTATTGTACATCAATACAACGGAATATGGTGGCTGCATTACAACAAACTTTTACCAATATAATGTTTTAATGACATGGGAAAAGACTTCTGAAGAAAGGTAAACTTAAAAAAAAAAGAATATGTTCTCTATTATGTTCAAAAGTATGTAATTTCATTTAGGTCCATGCTCAAATATCAACCCTTCCGAAAAGCCTTCCCTGACCACTAATTAAAGTAGCATTCTGGGGGCTGGCCCCGTGGCGGAGTGGTTAAGCGCGCGATCCGCTGCGGGCGGCCCAGTGTTTCGTTGGTTCGAATCCTGGGCGTGGACATGGCACTGCTCATCAAACCACGCTGAGGCAGCGTCCCACATGCCACAACTAGAGGGCCCACAACAAAGAATATACAACTATGTACCGGGGGGCTTTGGAGAGAAAAAGGAAAAAATAAAATCTTTAAAAAAAAAAAATAGCATTCTGCTGCCACTTCCTTTCCTTGTATCCTCATCTTTATATTTTTTGTAGCATTACCACCTCCTGAAAATTATTTGTGTTTGTTTCTTCATTTATTGTCTTTCTCATCTTACTAGAATGTAGGCTCCATGTAGCTGTGTCCTGCCTGTTTCTTTACTGCCATATCCGCCAATGTCTAGGGCCATATTTAGTGCATAGCAGGTGTTCAAAATGCAGTTATTGAATGAAGGAGTGTGATGTTTAGAAAAAAGCTGAGAAGAACGACACTGGAATGTTAACAAGGGTTCAATTTGAGTGGTGGGATTATAGGCCATTTTACTTTTTCTTTGTGTTTCTGTGTTTTCCAGATTTTTTAAATAAATATTATTACCACTGTACTTGGGAAAAAATGAACAAATGTCTTAAAAACAAAAATGTAACTATGAAATTACCTGGAGAGAGGATAACAATTGCTGTAAGCAGAGCATACTCTTCTTGAGTCATTTTCAATTCTGCCACACTTTTATAAAAACTAAACATAGGTGTTATGTATTCGTCAGAGATACCTATGGGGGGAAGTTGAAAAATTGCAGAGGCATAGTAAAATTTTTGAAATGACTGAAATACAAACACATTATATATACACACACATGTTAATATTTATACCCACATGCACACATTCAAATAATGACAGTATAGTATATGTCCCAACTGAAGGCAGGGCATTGCAAAGAAATTCAGTTAACAAAATCCTCAAAACAAAACCGAATCAATGATTTGAATGTCTGATTTCAGCAGTGCCTTTGTTTCTGTTACTACTGTGTGACAATAAATGATAATGTTCTTGAATTGCCAAAAGAATCTCTGAACTTCATCTGTTTCTGGATGAGGTGTAGTTAATCCTTTTAATATTATCTATAATCAAAGCATAGATAGCACCTTAAACGACCAACAAATTATTCTTCAGTCCAGAAGTATAAATGGCTTCACTTAATACATTGGCTAGGGTTCTCATCAGGGTTCTGATCTCTCCAAAGAACCAAACCTGTTTATCCATTGCCTATCAGGCATTGGTAATTGGCTGTTTTCTTCAAACTCAATATGTCCAAAATCAAAGACACCGTGTACAGAACTAAACTTCCTGTTTTCCTCCAAATCCACCCCTTTCCTGGAGTTCCCGTTCTCAGTGATTAGTATCCTCACACACCCCGCCCCTGCCTGACAACTGAGGATCAGCCTCCCTCTAACTCAGTCATGTGTAAGTCCTGTCACCTGACCTGCCAACTCTCCCTTAGGACTCCCTCTCCACTCCACTGCACCTGGCATTGACTTAGTTTAAGTCCTTATTTCTTCTCATCTGGACTACTGCAATTACCTCCTCTCTAGTCTTCCTGTCTTCAGTTTGGTCCCCCTCAATCCATCCTGTAATCACCTTTCTAAAATTCAAATCACACCCTGTCTCCCCACTTCTTACAAACCTTCAAAAACTCTCCATGACTTTTGGTATAAATATTCTTCCTTTGTACGTAGGAAACTCCGAGACCTGTTACCTGCCTATCCCACCACTTGGATTATATATACTCGCCCACATGATAATACTAGTAGGAGTTCACGTTTATAGAATACTCATTATGCATTAGGCACTGTTCCAAGTACTTCTTATATATAACTCATTTAACCTTTCTAATGCCCATGAGGTTGGTATAGCGGGTTATATAACGTGCACAAAGACACACAGCTGGTGAGAGGTGGAACCAGAATCCAAACCAAAACTGGCAGGCTCAGAGTTTGCCTCTTAGCTATGACTAAACTGCACCACCTTTCTATCACATGGCCTTTACTCTGGCCATGTTCAGCCTCTTGCAGTTCCCTAAACAATTCACATTGCCTGGATTTTGTATACATTGTTCTCTCCACGTGGAATATCCTCCTTCTCCTTTATATAGCTTACTCCTCTTCATAATTTGATTCCTTTGTGTTGCTTCCTCCACTCATTCAACAAATATTACTTTAGTGCCTGTTCTGTGCATGGCCCCACTCCAGAAGAACTTTAACTGGGAAATTGTGGACAGAAAAAAAAAAAATAAGACTGTGATGTGACTTAAGGGATGAATTAAGATGAGGATGAGTTTCCCAGGATTGGTCCACACTCAAATAGACTGCTCTATTGGGCCTAAATCAGACCTGGAGCCACAGAGTTTTGGTCAAACAACACCAGAATAAAATTGGATCCCAGATGCTAAAAAGTACAACTATCACCTAATATTGCTCTTCACAGAATCAGAAAGTCTAAATATTCACCTTTAGAGGAATCTAAAGAATCTTCCCAAACTGAATCTTTGGCCTTTCTCTCTTTCTCAAAATACCACACTTTTCACCCCCTTGACTTTTGATTCTTCAATCTGCCCCAGTGGGCTTTCTTAACAACAGTGTCTTTGTTAAGCAACTTGGGGATTATTACATCATGTGGAAGATTGCCCACTATCCAGTTGTTACAGATTAAACTGAATACCCAGGACCAAACTAGACACATGTTAAACTGCAGAGGGTCAGAATATGTGAGCCTGGGAATACCAGACCTGGATTCCAGCAAACATCACGGTTAAGAGGTCATGCTCTGAGTTTACAGTCTGACCTATGACTTGATCTTGGGCACATTACTGAAACATTTGGAGCCTCAGTTTCCTCATTCGTGAAATGTGAATTGCAACAATAGTATTCTATGAGATAATATAAGAGTGCTTAGCACAACGCCTGGCCCCATAGTAAGCCTGCAATACTGTTAGAACAAATAATCACAACCTTTATGACTGTTATTCAGGAGAACTGGATCAACACATCAGTTCATCCTAGTCTCCGTTCATCTTAATCGTAGTTAGATTAACTTTGTGTCCTTTTATGTTTGCAGAGGTATGCTGTTGTTTTTATTTTGTGTTACAATCTGAGTTTCCTAGGGATGAATACAAATTGGCTGATCAGTGATTTGCCTCAGTATTTTTCTGTGTATTAAAGCTAAACTAACATCTGTATTTTCTTGGTAAAGTTGTTCTTTCACCTTCAAAAACTGGCAGTCCTTAGGCTTTCTTCAGCATACCTGAAGATGGGACTATACCCATCAGTTGTGGTTACCTAAAATAATAGTTCATGACTGTGTCATTATTTTTAATAGTATATGAGGATTTGGGGGATAATATTAAAAGCAGCTGATTTGAAAATATTCAAGTTTTAGAAATGATCTTTGACTCCCTACCTTCCTATTTTATTTGTCTTTCTAAAGCCCGACTCACTCCTCAAAAATGTTACTTCCATTAACTGTCCAATTGTAGTTGATAATTTGGGGGAGAAAGCAGCTAAAAATGTTTATTACAATTGTTCATCTTGTGCATCTCATAAAGGTCAACAGTGAATATAGAGAAAATGTAGAATACAAATAATAGATGAGTTTTTTTTTAAAAAAAATAATTTTCCTACAAGATAGATCAAATATAAAACTATTTGTGGAATTAGAATCAATAATCAGATTAACCACTCCAACATAAACAAAGAGATATTTTAAGTGTTTATGAACCAATAATTTCTAGCTTAAGAAACGTAACAATAACGTCATCCCTAGGGGGCTGTCTTCCTCTTTTCCTGCTTCCTCTTTTCTAGAGACTTGCTTCATTTTTGCTCTTATACCCAATTAGCTAATTTTTGGTCACAAGGGGGAGCTATTTTCTAACTTAACCATGAAGACTACCGTGGAAACGTGTGAAGTTGTAAAGAACCAATGTTTCTGCTCCTCTGCTTATTATTTGTTTTCCTTTAAAAAAAAAAAAGAGGTCTGTGATTAATTAATTGTTCAATGATCAGAAATATTCTTTGAGAGAATAACCATTTCAAAGAACTAACACTATTATGGTGTTTTAAGTTGTTTTAAATGTAAAAGTCTTTTATTTGCTAATTAACTACCTAGTTTTAATTGGGAACAAAAATAAAGGAGAGGTTTATTTGTGGGTATGTGTGTGTCCGTACATGGATTATAATCAAGTGTGAATATTATACGAGACACATTTCTTGGTGTTTTAAATAACTCTAAATGATTTATTATAATTGACAATCTCAAGATTGACCAATAATCTTGTTTAAAATGATGCTATTTGCTCAAAACTATATAATTAGACATTTTCCTAGAAATGACACCACTCCATAGCATAGAGTTAAGGTATAAGCCCCTGACATGGCATGCACAGCTATTTCTGCTTCTGCTGTCCTTTCAAACTAAACACTCTCCATACCAAGTTTCCCTCTGAACTAATGTCTCCAACTCTTCTTAGTTCCTGAAGCTGTTTCAAGTCATTGTCTATGCAACATATCTACCTCCCCCACCCCTGCCCCATGGCCATGTACTATGGCAGAGGCAGATCCCACTCCAGCCCAAGGTCCAGCTACTACTGGTTTCATTTCCCTTGTCAGAGATTGGCATAATCAGTGACAGTGGTAAATTCTGGCCCATGAAAAGAAGGGGAGTCTACTGGGAAACTCCTGAGAAAGATTTCTATACTCAGGAAGAGAACATCTCTTTGTTTTTTGGCCATTGTTGCACCTGGATGTGATGCCTGGAACTGCTGTGGCCATTAGAAGACCAGGAGGAGAACCAGCCTGAAGATAAAGCCAGTATACCAAGGATAGCAGAGCAGAAAGAGGAAAAACACCTGTGTTTCTGATGGTGCGTTGAGCCTGACTTAACCAATTCTGCTGCTGCCCTTTCTCTGTTTCTCATTTGAGCTAACACATTTCCTTACTTTTTTAGGCCATATTGAGCTGGGTTTTGATACCACCAGCCAAGAGCGTCCTGACAGCTCATCTAACAAGTTAAGATACATTTTTACGTCTTCATGCTTTTTTGCCTGAAATATAAGGCAAGATCCTTGTTAGCCTAGGACACCTCACCCATGTTTTAAAGCCAAGTTCAAATTTTGCTTTCTCTGTGGAGCTTTCCCTGTCAAAATAAGGTAGAATGAGTTCCTCCCTTCTCTATGTTCTCTTCTATTGCACCTATCACAATTCGTATCTCTCCATCTCCTTAAAGTCTGAAACACTATACAAATTATATGAGAGCAGGACCAGCTGCAGTATTCTCAGTGTTTGGCATGCTGCCTGGCCAAAAAAGGGTGCTCTATAGATATTTCTCATTTATCTCTGCATCTTTAGGAAATAGCATCCTGCTGGAGACACGTAGGAGATTAACAAATGTTTGTTAAATTAGCCAATATTATATTTTGCTAGTTCCTTGTGACGTAGTTGTGAGATGCAATGGGGCCAAGAGACAACATTAACACAATGGAAACATTCTTGTAGTGCTAAGAGATCGGACCTTGGCCTCTATTTCAACTGCTAAACTCTACTCGGTGAGTCAGTTGTGCCATACTGCTGGCCTTGAGTACAAAGCTGCCATTGAATTAGAAATTCAAAAAATAACCACTTTCAATATAAAATATTTAATTTAAAATAATTAATAAATAACAGACTTTCCATTAGTTCTAGTGGCTGAAAGTTATTTGGCCAAATTAGATCTCAGTGGCAC